AATACATAACTTAAATAGAAAAAAAAAAAATCCGATGCGGATACCACATGACTTCCTTGTACGCCTATTAAATTAGACACTTTTTTTACTACACTTCATTTAAACTCGTATCTTCGAATTATTCTAATTTAATTAACCGATTCCTCAAGACAAGTGGAAAAATACCGTCAAAAATTGCAATTTTTGAAATTAAATATCCCAGTCAATTTTTGTCGTACAGCGGATAAATTTTTTGAATTTTTTTTTACATAAAAAGTATAAAATTTTAATATACGTATAGGAAGCAAGAGACTGCATTAAAAGTTAGATTTCATTATTTTTCCAAAACTACGTTATTTTTCCAAAACTACTTTTTTTTTCAAATTTGAAATTGCCAAAACACGAAAATTTTTGTCATATGAAACACTTCTGTTATTGGTAACCCATATACATACGCTGAACGATTGCGAAAATAAAAGCCAGACAAGGGATGGGTGGGTATATAGTATGTGAAAGCGTGTATATTTACTTTTGGTATTACCGATTACAATAAAAAAGGGGATACCAATCCCATATACAAAATTTCAAAGTTCTATGATTAATTGCTTTTGATTTATGAAAGATACTTACGTACAGACGTCACGAAAAAACTCATTTTACAGTACATTTTGGGGAAAATTTTTTTTTTTTTTCTGTCCATAAAAAAGAGTAGTAAAAATGAATTCGGGAATGGTTAAAATGGATATTTCCGTTGAAAGCGAAAGTTTTCCGCGATTACAATTACTTCCTTTATTCCGTAGAAGGAAGTAAAAAATACATTGACATAACACGAAACTTATTTTACCGAAAAGCTCTATGCATTATAAAGAATCTGATCCAATGGCTTTTGTTTTAGAACAAGTACACATTCCATGCATTGTACCTAAAATACATCATAGAAAAATAAAGATCATTGGCACCCCCAATTCTTGAACAGTTATTAACGATTAACGAACAGTTATTAACAGTTATTTACGATTTCATTAATTTTAAGTTTATTATGAATGTGAACATATGCCATGCAAAGATTTAACTATGCATAAAATAACCTTTGCTTTGGTGTAAATTTGAAATTATACTCTATCAATTTTTAGGCAATCAGACATAGCTTTATTCAAAATCTTTGCCAAACTAAGAATGCATTTTTACTTAATGTTAAATTTTACATTGATATACTTCCCTCAAAAGATTTAACTAAATGAGTCTAAATATGTAAAATGAATGCAATGTTTGATGGCTTTCTATCAAAAACATGAGCAACTATGCTGTCTGTAAAGCATAGTTGTTCCAATAATACAGTGATAATCATAAGTCAATAATAATAAGTCATAATAAGCTCCAATAATAAGTCAGCAGCATCCAATAATACAGTGCATTTCCATTTAAAGGCCGGCAGTCTGAAACCTGACTGTGGAATGTAAAATTTTTAATAAAGGTTACAACTGATCCATTGTAAAAGCCACATTAATCTGCAGATGACAAACAAATGAATTTCTAATATATTAAAAATAAGTATACCATTGAAAATAAGAAAAGAACCCATAGCATGCAGTGCCTTTAAAAAAAGAAAATAAAGATAAATCATTTAAATTGTTGGGAAAATAACAGAGTGACACACGATACAAATGGTTAGGAATGTCAACAGAAAAAGTTTATAAATTTTATTCACAGCGTATGGTGAAAAAACAACAAAACAAGGTTATATATAAAAAGAATATATAAGTCTTAAAAGAAATAAATTTAAACCTATTGTTACTTTTCCTAGTCTGAAAATCTTAGACGAAAAACAAGCCTCCTTACCTGTACTGAAAATGTTAAAAATAATAATTAAACAAAGATTGTAAAGAATTAAAACAAATACAGGTATCACAACTGTACAACTTTATTTCCAAAATAGAAAGTAATTGTGGACACCAGATCCCTTAAATTTATAACAAAGTTTACACTAAATGCTCAACATATCAAAAAGACAAAACATGATAAAATTCACATTTTACACAATAATGTAATACAGTATTTCTAAAACATATAATCAGTTATAATATTTTATTTAGATATTTCCATGCATGCCATTAATAATGTATCCTTTAAAATTTAATTTCTTCTTTTTTGTGTAAAAACAAATACATTTATGTACACCTTGTACAAAAAAAATAATGGGACAGTTCTATATCTCCTGTTCTACTGCACTGATTGTCAAAATTTAACTTGCGTTTTCCATGTCTCGAAAGCGTGACTTATGATATATATTAGATTTATATATAGCATTGTTCTAACATAAGTATTTTGACACAAAATCAGACCTTTTCTGAAATAACATACCAATTTTTTTCCCTATTTCGATTTTATAACTCCAATTACGCCAAAGTGTCAAGTTTTGTAAAAATTTCACAAGTAAATTTTAAAAAATTAGCTCTCAAAGTTTCAGCTCTTCCACGTTAATTAAACTTATATATATATTAATATCTATTTTTTTTATTAAATTTATATGATTCTTCCTTTCACATTTCAAAATTTAGGTTCATTCTAAACAAAATTCGCCCTTTTTTATGATTTATCTTTAAAATTTATATTTTAAAATAATTTTTATAAATTTTTCGAAAAAAACTTTATAATTACAACCTATAAAATTTTTTACCATCATCTTAAAGTTTGCATTTCGAAGCATAACTTCAAAAAAATTAAGAGTTTTTTAATTCAAAATTTCTTAAGATTTACGTGAATTTACATATTGGAGCGCATTTTGAAATTTGACATATTTATCATAAGAGATAATAATGCCAGATGTGGTTTACATACTTTGTTAAAACTATTTGAAAGTAAGTTCGTCAAGTGAATTATTCTTGGCGCAAATGAAAAAAATGCGATAAGATAAATTTTAAATTTATCCATAATGTCCAACAAAAAATTACAAATTTAATATCTAGGCATAATTAGAGCCGTAGAATAAAAATATGGAAAGAAAATGTCCGATTTTGTGCAAAAATACCTATGTAAGAACAATGCTAATAATTCATAAATTTATAATATGAAAACTTTCCGTATACCATCTCCATCTATGTTAGAACAGTGCTATATATAAATATATTATATTTATCCTAAGTCGCGCTTTCGAGACACGGAAAACAAGTTAAATTTCAACAATCGGTCCAAAAGAACAAGAGATATAGAACTGCCCCCCTTTTTTTTGTGCATGGTGCACAAGGTTACCTACACGTTTAAGCACTTATAATTTAACAAAACTAATAAAGGGAGTTTGGAGACTTCTTAATGCAGTGACTAGAAGATACAGTCAAAGGCTGCAATAGTTTTCCTCTGTGTACTCATTCAAGCTAAAATATTCATTAAAAAAAATAATGATTTCATGTTACATGATTGAAAATTTTTAAGTGTCTCTCATTTCTTCAGTAATACATAAGAATAATGAAACTATTAATTTACATCCCAAAATCAAATGCCAGGAAATTTTTAAATAGGAGTTTAAATGCCTGTAGATACTACTGATAACAGGACACATTGAAGCCCTTTTTCTCCCATTTTAAGCATGTTAAAAGTTTTATAAATTAAATTTACAATGCAACTAACAAGAAAAGCTTTGCCCATAAAAGTATTAGATTACTATTTATTACAGTACTTCATATAAAGTACTCAATGTAAAATATCTAACACACTAACAACAAACATATGAAAATTTATAGACTACAAACATCGAATAAAACACTTTTGGGAGACTATTTACAGACAGAAATATAGGATTCCAAGAATGAACAAAATATTCCATTGCAACTTAAAAACTCTTTTACATATGAATGAATAAACATAATTCTAATTTCAAAAGCCCAATAGAGGATGAGCTTTTGAAATGACAATTTTGTTCATTTAGCTTTCATAAGACTTTTAAAAAATATTGTGAAACTCTACAAAATTCATAACAGATCTAGGTTCATAATAACTACTTCAAAGAAACTGATAAAAATATGACAATATGAAATACCAAACAGCATGCAAAATCTTAAGTAACTGGAAAAATATGTGATGATTACTGAAAAATATAAATAATTTGGCTTGTTACTATTACATCAATACAATGTTTCCCACTAAAAATAAATGTATGATATTACTACATGATGGAAGTACAGTATGGAATTAAATACAATATAAACTTCACTCTTTCTTAAAAATATGAAAATGAAGATTATCTTAAAAAAAATAAAAGGGTTCTCAGCAAAAGGATAGACAAATGATATATGAAATAAGTAGTGTAACAAATATTCACAAAATGTCAACTGACTCAAGTTTAAAAAAAAAATATTGTCCCTCATATAACAGATAAAATGGACAATTTTTACATGCTGATAAAATTTTATCATGTATAACATTCAAAAAATGTAACTTTTTGTATCAAAAACTACTCATTATCAATAACATAAAATAGCTAAAACTCGGAAAAATATATGGAAAAAACCTATAATTCACAGCATAAAAAAGATTATGTTTTAATAATACTTTGCTGTGGAAAAGTAAACAAAATGCAGGGGCAAAATACAGATTCTCTTTTACCCCCTTCTTTCTTCTGACTAATTACACTGAGACCAAAAATAATTTTATCACTGCGAAGTCTTTGAAACTAAATACAAATTATTCACAGTACTTTCACAGATATTCCCAGGACTTTGATTACTGCTGTAGTTTTACTTACTTCACAAAACAATACAACCACATCCGAACAATAAAATATTTATTATTCCCATGTTTTGTAGGATAAATATTCGACTAGATGCTTTGGAATGCCCAGATTCCCTAATTCTTCAGGAGGTACTAATCTTCGAATTGCAATCCGTGTTAAATAAAGAAGAGATTTGATGCACAGTGGAGCATTCCAAAATGTGACAGGTCCGTGTTTGCTTCTGTAAAAGTAAGAAAACAAATCATGAAAAACAAAGTTTTTAAAATTTGATTTTATCATTCATATTTCTTATACATTTATAGTAAAAAGATTAGCAAAAATTATTACATCAATAAAATAACATAATAAGGAAAACTTTAACATTTTCAAATACAAAAATCAAATACCATCTAGATCCATATTAATTTTTTTAAATGCAAAAACGTAAGATGGTATTTAATCTTGAGATAAGACAGCATAAAATACAACAATAATAATATAGTATACCAATTACAATAAACAAATTTATTTTTCACATTTCTCTGCAGTGTAATTAATTAAAACTATTCAGCAACATTAACATGCCCCCTCCCCCCCAAAAAAATTAACAGTCCCAGTTACCACTGTCCTTGTACAACATATTTATGATTATATAATATTTATAACTTTGTACTGTCAAAACGTCAAAAAACTATGATAAAATTCCAAAAAGGAAATTTAAAATAAAATTTTGCACTATTCACATATTTTTTTTTGTAAAAATATGATAAAGTTTCTTGCTTTCTTAATAAAAGTATTTTAATAAAAGGAAGATAATTGATTACCAAATGACACTTCACCAAAGATGAAACAAATTGTTCTAGATATAAAAAATGAAATAAACAATTTTCTCAGATTTCAACGAAAATTATGAAAAAGTGAACAGAACCCACATTATGAGATGCTCAGTTTTGCTTAGAATCCCTCAGTAAGATATTGGAGCATTAGAAGCCTGATGAGATAGATTTTGCAAGTGTGTGTTTTATGTTTGACTTTTTTTCTTGCTATGGAAAACAAATACATTAAAAAAATTGCCTGACTACCTGAATTGATTTTTCTATCTAAACTGGCTCTACAAATGTGTAGCATGCACATTTACAAAAGGCAACAAAACTGGCCTAAACTACGCAATTAAAATGTAGTTAATTCGCAATGGAAAGGTAAAATATTCTATTTCAAAACACGACAGAATTTCTAGAACTAGCCTTATTTTTACTCATTCATGTTCTTGAAGGGAAAATGACATACGAAACAGAGACTGAGCATTTCAGACATTTATGCATAAAGCTATTAAAAATGTTCATAAGATTTACAAAACCCAATGTATGCAACAAAATATTTTGAAAAAGATTCAAAATATGAAAAATAATCTATAAAATTAAACCCAAACAGGATGTTTATCATAACAAAAATTTGGTTATATCTATCTGAAAATAGAATGCAAGTAGACAAGATAATAGTTAACCTAGAAATTTAGATTATTACAAAACAAAACAGGAAACAGGTAAAAGAATAAAACATTATTATTTAGATCACTACAAAACAAAACAGGAAACAGGTAAAAGAATAAAAAATATGTTCTGACAGAACAACAGTTTTTATCTCAAGAACAAGAGGATTTTAGAGGTCTCAGACCACTGTGTGCAAATTACATTTTTGTAAATTCATAAACACTACTAACAAAATTTGAACAAAACTATCAAGCTTCAGAAAAAACACCCCCCCCCCTCCAATCCAAAAAATCTGAATCTTCAGTAACATAAGGAATAATTACAGTAGATGACAGGATCCAACGAATTAAAAAAAAAGACAGCTGAAAGTAAGTTATTTGAGGCTATTTCAGCTTACAGAAACATCTTCACTCAAATTATCTCTTTCCGTCATTTTGGATGATTCTTCTGAGACAACCTTTTTATTCCTTCAACATCAAATTACATTGTGCATATGTTTTATCTTTATGCTTACTAACACAAAAAATAGTACTTTCTTATAAATTAAATCACTCTCTCACCTATTTACCTCACATTTTCAGTAAAAGAAAAATGAGAATCATATAATAACAATATTTTATCTTAATTAGTAACCAATAAACACATTTTAGGAAGACTGTTTTTATTACATATACTTAAAATTTGATTAAATATTAAAAATGTTCAATCAGTTCCTAATTTTGCATCAATAACTGTCTAGAATAAAATATGAAATTAACTTGATTATAACTTTCCCAAGCTTGAAACATGAAAATTTGAAAATTGAGTCCATAATTCTGACCATTTTTCATACATAAAATAATACCATATAGCATGTATGTATAGGCAAGTATGAAGTAAAAATAAGATTTGGCTTTCATCAAATTAAAAGTTTTTAATACACTACTGAACTATTCAAAATGTCCAAACAGCTATCAATAATTACTACTATTATCAAAATCTGCATTATATTAATTATGATTTGTTACCCAAGAAACCAGCATAACACGCAATAATTAAAATATGTCTAAGGCTTATGAACGTAAAAAAAAAAAAATTTAATTCAGAATATTTTTAAAATGCTCTAAATCAAATTAACTCTCCAATAATACTTTTAAAACAAATTAAACAAGACTTTCTTTAACTTATACTTATTATAACATATTTCCTTTTTCTTTAATGTTTCTTAAATTTTTGTCATCTTCATCTGTAATTTTGAAAATTGTGAGGTTTCTTTGGAAATAAAGGATTTAATAAAGTGTACTAAAAATTACACTGAATTAAGATTGCTTTAACAGGTAACAAAAAAATTAAAAAGTCCAACATAAAAAGTAAATAGAATATTATATTTGAGAGATTTTGATTCTAAAATTTATATTTATTAATAAACAAAAACATGGGACATACAGTGGCCCTCTCATACTCATAGATAATGCATTCCCAAAACTACAGCGAATAATACTGACCACTAAACATAATGCAATTTTCATACTATACATAAATGCAATAAAAATTTAACAATTTTGCTCAGCAGCAGCTTATAAACATTAAATGATATAATAAAAAGAAGCATACTGTACTGTACATATGGAATGCACTTCCTTTTATTTCACATACATGAAAATAAAGGATAAAGGTTTCATAAGATTTTAGTATAATCCAAATTGAAGATACAATACATTTCACTGCTTTTTAGAAAGTTGCCAAGTAATGAAATTATATTACACCTGACTTACACAGTATTCAATGTGCTTTCAAAAGATAACTGAATAAAAAAAATTATGTTTTGCCATCAAAGCACAAATAAACAATGAAACAAAACACTGAACTATGGAAGCCTATCTGAGTTAAGAATTGCAATTACACTTGCAGGAGAATTTCAGGAACAACTATACAAGCTGTTGTATGCTAAGTCTATTAAGTGAAGTCCAATGTGAGGTGATTGGCTGGTATCTCAAGATCAACTTTATCACGTAATTCAATGGTCTTTATCTTCATCATACAGAAAGATGCAAATTTTCACACCTGTTCTTCCAACAAATATTTTCTATATTTGTATGAACTATGAGGGCCTGCTTCAGATTCTAATATCAAGTATTACACAAGCATTTGATGAAAGTTTTGCATGTGGAACATCGAACATGTCATTGAAAATATATATAACCAACTGTGAGAAGGGGCAGCAAGTAGTTGGGAATGTGAGCAGAATAGACATGAATGCAGACCAGTTAATGGCTAAAAGGTAGCCTATAGCAACATGTAAGAATTTGGAAATAGTTTAAAGACATTAGTGATGTATGCATCAGGTCAAGGTCAAAAATGTGCAATAGCAAGTTCTACCATAATTTGGCAATGATTGCTAAAAGAATTAGACAACTGATGTCAGCCAAAATTATAGGGAAGCTCACTGCAACTATGACAACTCAACTATCCAGATATACAATGAGTAACAGGTTGTGTAAGAGTGAACTATATGCAAAGAATCCATGAATTGTGTCCCATTAATCTGTACCACACGACTGGCAGTTGTGTAAAATGCACACAGCTGCCAGTGGTGCTTAATATCATTGCAACTGGGATACCACAGGAGGTAAGCCCTCTTTGCCAACATATCTCATTTTTGTTCAGAGAGTGAATCCATATGTATTACAATCTGAAGGCAGCAAAAAGCAATAAGCCTGAAAGCATCTATGAAAGGCAATAGCATCATTTTGAATAGCTGCACTGACCTACACATTCTTTACCAATGCAACTGTTAATGCTAAATTATACACAGTTGATCCTTTTTAGCTCAAAGGAGCGTTAACTCTTTTAGTCTCAAAACGGCATTTTGCTTCGATTTACTTTCTAAACTGTTGCCACCAAATATTATCGCCATGCATTATATTTAAAGAAACTAAATAATGAAGAATCTGCATAAATATTTCTCACATTGAGAAAAAACAACAGTACCTAGAGCCATCAAATTTTGAATAACATAATCCTCCAACCGAACATGGGCACTTAAAAGCCAGAATTTTCAATTTGCTTTATTGCCTATTTCAAATTTTGCAAAACTTTAATGAATTTTTTATTAATAAACTCAACGATTTTAAAGTGAGCAATGGCAAAGCTGTTCAAAAAAATATTATCTCCAGCGACTGCCTATCATAAATTCTTAAGATATGCTGTTTTTAAATATTTTGTGATGTTGAATGACTTTTATGTGGTTTAAGTGCGAAGAACATGATATTTAATAAATAAAGGTGACACATAAAATGTTAGGCATAATATAAAATCTGAAAGCTTTCAGATTTCTGTCCCCTCTTCTTTTTCTTTTCTTTCTTTCTTTCTTTCTTTCTTTTTTTCTTTTTTTCTTTTTTTTTTTTTTTTTTTGTGTGTGTGTGTGTGTGTGTGTGTGTGTGTGTGTGTTTGTTAAAGGTTTAGAGAAGCAATGGATAACAACTTTCTCCTCATGTATGATAATGCTTATCCCCTTCAGGTAGCACTAATGACCAATAATCTTAGAGATTATGGAATCCAACTGAGGGAATAGCATGTATATTCTGCTCTGATAAAACACTTGTAAGGTGCACTAAAACACTGATCTGCATTGCTGCAGGCTCCAGCTAGCACTTTCCAGGACTCTTAAAATGCTATTCATTGCTTATATGCTTTATTACAGCAGGATTTCCTGGACAATCTAACATACAGCATGAAATTCACTGTAAAGCTTGCAATTTAATCAGGGAGGAACACACATCCTATTAATATTTTCTCATATATAAAGTGACATAAGGAGATGATACAACATCAGCTTTTCCCTACCCCATTTTATATCACATTTCTTATTAGTCCAAAGCGGCAATTTGCCCAGAAGGACTATTAATTTCATCTTGGCATTTTGCATTGATGCACTATAAGCAACGTTTCACTTTTCAAATTGTTGCCACCAAATAATATCACCCTATATTATATTTAAAGAAATTAAAATGTATGTTGTGTTTCTCGCATTGTGATAAAACAACGACACCTACAGCCATCAAATTTTGAAATAAATAATCCTCCCGCGAATATGGGCATCTGGAAGTCCAAATTTGAAATCTGGAATTTGTTTTACTATCCATTTCCTATTTTCTAAAACTTTAACGAATTTTTGATTAACAAACTCGAGGATTTCAAAGCGAGCAATGGCAACATTGTACAGAAAAAACATTTTTATCTCCAGTGTGCAAGACTGTGTATCGGCAATTCTAAAGATATGCCCATTTTAAAATTATTTTGCTATATTGCTCTTGAAATGAATTTCATAGTTTAAGTGCGAAGAACATGGTATTTAATAAATAAAGGTAATACACAAAATGTTTAAAAAAATGTCCTTCGGACATAATTTAAAACCTGAAAGCTTTCGGATTTTATTTTTTTTATATCTAAATTATTATTATTATTTATTTTTCAAAAATAGTTAGTATAGTAATAATAGAATAATTTTTAAAAAATTTTCTCACTAGTGTTTATTGTAAAGTGATCAGATGTTTTCATTTGCATGGGAGATACTCATTAGTTAAAGGTGAACACATAGTTTTTATTATCACTAATTACATACAAAAAGTGAAATTATTTTCAACTGAAAGCTATATTTTTCCAAAACTGTGTAGTTTTAAAAGTAATTTTACACTTTTTTTGGATCAAACTCTTTGCAAAGAACACTCAAATTATAATTAGCTTATATTAACCTTTTTGGCGTTTCAGTTTTTCATCAGTTTTTCTCCAATGTCCTTACTTTTAAATGTTGGCCTAACACATTATTCTGCTGAGTTTTTAATTTTATCATTTTTAATTTCATATAAAGAATATTAATTATAAACAAGTTATATATTGTACCTAGAATATTTAAACAAAACAAAGCTGGATTCACTAAGACGATGTTCAGTATGTTATAGTATATTACTGAAACTGGAAAAAGGCAGTTTAAGAATTCATCAGCAAAATCACATTTTGATTATGAAGGGATAAATGAAGATAGATTAATTAAAAAGGAAATAAGCTTGGCCAAAATTGAGTTAAAACAAATAATGGAACTCCAGCTACATTTCCCAAAACAACTTTCAAAATTTCTCAATAATGCAGTATTTTAGGGACGAAGTATATGATTTCCTTTATATTAAAATAATCAATATATGAAATTTCCAAAATGAAACACACATTTTGGAAAAAATGCAACATACTACACAAAATTCAGAAAAATACACAGTTATGACATTAACCTCTCACAACTTTCATGTTTTTAAATTTATATATCACGTTTCAATTAATATAGCTTAAAAATATACACAGAAAGTCATAATTTGTGCCTTGAGCATTTTCAGTAATTTAGGAATTTTATCATTAAAATAGCTAATGAAATTCTTAAAAGTAAGTATATAAAATTGGCCAAAACTTAAGACAAGATTTTTCTTGTAATTAATGTTTAAAAAATTCCCAGCTTAACTCTTATGCAATTAATTATTTTTCTAATTTTCTGAAATCTTAAGAAACTGAATATCTTGTTAAATATACACATTTGAACTGAAGGCACATGAACTAGCATACACATGAATGCAAAGTATAAGCACGGATGTACATAATGGTATAGAGTAGACATATAACAGGCAAATAGGTAAATCAAATTACTGTGAACAATAAAGTGCGACAGCACTGAGCGTAACTGCGACAATCCAATGCAGGTTAAACACCCAATTTCACGAAACGAGGAACCGAAATGCCACTTGGCTTCAGCACCTTGGCGGCTGAAGCGTAGTTAGTGTCGGCCTACGGCTCTTGGGATTGCCGTCTTTCATCCACTGCAAATGAAAATCATTAGAGAAGAACAAAGCTAACAAAAACTTTCATTCAAAGCCATTCAACTAGTCTTTCACACTGAAAACATAGCTTCAGATAGCTGCAGTATAAAACATTTTTCATCATTTTTTAGCACGACAGAAAATTACTCAGAATATTCTAAAAGTTTTATTATATTTTATTAGAGAGGAAAGGGTATGCATTACATTGACATAGCACTTCGATTTCCATACATACAATTCCTGTATTTTCATTTAAAAAAAACAATTATTTTAAATGACTATGTTTTATTTAATTGTATGCTGCAAAATATAGCTTAACTTTTAATCACATAGCCCATTGGCTAAAATTTACAAAAACCGTGAAAATAAACTTTTTAGCATAGATAGAAAATATTTCAGAAATAAGTAGTATATAGCATTCAATTTACAGTATTTTAAATTATTTCTCATAATGTCACTTTTCTAAATATGTAGATATTGCTATGCAGTATACACTGACTACCAATAAGTATTTGGACACCTATGCAAATGACAATATCTGCAGTCCTAAGGTACTCCACCGGTATATATCGTGTAGGAAACAGCATCGGCTTTAGTCGCATGCAAGATGCCTCGCAGTTCGGAGCTCTCTGATTTCGAGAAAGGTATAATTATCGGGTATCACAAATGTGGCCGATCCTTAAGGAACATATCTAGCGATCTGAAATACCCAAAATCGACAGTGGCCTATGTGATTAAAAAGTGGAAGGTGAGCGGTGATTGTCGGAATGTGCCCCGAGTCGGCAGACCAACGAAACTGGGAGATAGAGACCGACGAGTGCTGTCCAGAGAAATTCGGAAGAACCGCACCCAACTGATGGCCCTCATCCGTGAGGAGTTTCAACAGGCATCCGGGAGTATTGTTTCAATGAATACCATCCGTAAGGAAGCACATCTGCTGCCCATAAGCCTTTGATCACAAAGTCCAACCTTGCTGCTCGGTTAATGAGGTGCAAAGCACATCGAAATTGGACTGTAGATCAGGGAAACCGGTTCTTTGGAGTGACGAATCAAGGTGCACCCGTTACCGTTCGAATGGTAGGGTCTGGGTCTGGCGTCTACCCGGAGAACATCTGCTGCCAGAATGCATTGTGCCAACAGTCAAGTTCGGCGGAGGTGGAATTATGGTCTGGGGGTGTTTCTCCTGGTATGGGCTAGAATCCTTGGTCCCCATTCATGGTAAGTTCAACTCCGATGCTTACTGCACTATTTTGGATGACAATGTGCTTTCCTACGTTGTGGCAGTTTTACGGATTGGACGCCTGTTACTTTCAGGACAACAATGCCAGTTGTCATGTTTCGACGTTAACCAAGGCTTGGTATGGTGCCAATGGAGTTCATCGAATGGACTGGCCTGCCCAGAGTCCAGACCTGAACCCTATCGAGAACTTCTGGGACGAGTTGCATCGCCGAATTCAAGGGTGCGCTACCCGTGCAAAATCGGTGAAGGAACTTCTATGTTTTCTCCAAGCTGAGTGGAAGAAAATACCACTAGCTGTCATACAAAGACTTGTAGAAATTATGCCCCGGAGGGTCCATTCTGTAATTACTTCTCGTGGAGGCTCTACCAACTATTGATTTTGAATAAAGTTAGATTTTCTATCACAGGTGTCCAAATACTTATTGGTAATCAGTGTAGCTCTGGTATAAGTTTCATGGCTGATTTTATTATTACTATTATTTAAATTAATAATTTGGCCAAGGACTAGAATACAGAATGAATTATGGATACCAATGATTAAGTATATAAAAAATAAGAGAGATGCAAATACTTTCCAGCCAATTTTTAAAATGGAATAAATACTATCACATGGTGTACGAAGTTATTCTGACTGTTACATTTTGATGCTACTAATGCACTGAACTATAAATAAATACATATTCATAACAGCATTTAAAAAAATTGCACAGTTAATTGAAGTTCATCCATAAAATTTACCTTTACACATTAATATGGCAGTATAATGCAGTACGTACCACTTTACTGCAGCTATCAAAAGCTATAATTATCAGTGAAATGTGAAATCTTGCAATCACTTCCAAACATTCAAGCTGTATATCTGTAGCTCCGATAAAAATTTATTTGATTTCTTCTTTAAAGTTTGATATTAGTCAATTTTGAATTTGAGATTAAGCAGCCTGCAGCTCAACAATGACACCATAAAGCAAAGGCATATATATATATATATATATATTATTACTGTCACAAATATTTAAGCAAATAAAACAGTACTACTAAAGCCTTTCCTCAAACCAGTTAAACTCACTTGTTACATTTTAATGGTTAAACATTAATTCTATACATGAAGCATATGAAGGCAAAAAAAAGTAACTGTAAAAGCGTAACAATAATTTATCATCATCTATTACAAAACACTCACTGAAATATTACGACCTATTCACAAAAATGCATATACATAATGTGGCAAATAAATAATGAGATTTTCATTTAAAAAAAAAAGTCCTGGAAAGCTCATGAAAAACAAATTAACTATACTTTAAAAAGGTATTTATCAGTTAATTAAGCAAGTAATTTTTATAGCTAAGAAGATAATTTTAAATGCTGAATTTTATATCATTTAGTCAAAAATCATTTTTCCAGACATGTATTGCATCACAATGAGCCTTCACCCTCATCAGTACAAATACAGGAATATTTGACCCGAAAACAAGTACACATTATCAACCATTCACCATATTCACCAAATTTATCCCACTGTGGCTAGTTTATTTTCCTAAAACTAAAAATGTTTCTCAAATGATGTTTTTTTTTTTTAAATATTTAAATAAATTGAGATACCTGTCGTTAAGGCAGCACACCCAAAAGCAGCTTTCTGTATGCATTTCCTTTTGTGAACTGGTTATAAACTGCTTACATTAATGTAGGAGGATCATATGCATTTAAAGTTAATGACTTTAAAAAATAGTCTTGCCGTCACATTATCTAAAATTACTCTAAAAAGAATAATATAAGATCAAATAAATATACTTCATATAACATGAAAAAGTTAACTTTTTTGTGCCTTCATTACATTTCTCAACTATACTGTCATTTCTAAGGATAATGGGCTAAAAAATTTGCTCACTTAAGGGGAAAAAATTTATACATGTACTTACATGAACCTGCAAAAATAGCACAATATATATAATTCACTAAGTCACTGCAAGGAATAATATTTAATTCTTATTTTCATTTTATTTATTCTACTATAAATAAAAGTGGTGAAATTTGCCTTTGCTTTAAGGTACTTAAGCAAGAAAAGACAAAGCTACTACAAAATAAACCAACAAATAAATTAATTAAAAAATAGCAATTAAAATTAAGAACTTAATGCAAGCTGGGAAGGGAAGAAGCATTGTTCAGTTAAATGCTGAAATGATTGTTTTGAAATTTTAATGTTTGAACTAAAATGGTAACCTTCAAAATGTAATGAATGTTGCTGTTTGTTGTTTACTATTCTGATGTTGTTTCTTATCTTCCTAATCTTGAATCAGATTCCAAATTATGCCAACAAATTTTTACATGTCCAAGTGTCTAATAATGACTAAGGCATTGGGCAGATACTATATATTTACAATATTACACACATCCATAGCTTCTCTGTAGTTTGCACCTATACCAAAGGATACGATAGCCAGAGCCACTGAAAACTCACAAAAACAAAGATGATAGAAAAACAAAGATGATAGAAAGAAACACTTATACATTTTGTTCTCAAACTCAATGAAATATAGACATATATTTCTATTTTTCAAAAATAAATATTAACAAAGTTACCTTACGAAGAACTTAACAAGGCTCTTTTGCAGCTCAAACTGCTACGACTTAAAAGATTACAAAATTAGCTTTAGTTTATAGAATAATCTTCATTATTACACTGATAATACAATTTAATTTTGTACTTTTTCATATATATTTAAAAAAATAGGAAATAGAATCTAAAGAAAACATGCATCAAAGTGAGAAACATCCTCTACAACGTAACAAAAGATTAAAAAATGTAAGGTTTGCTGCAAAAAATGACGTAATCACTTCCGAAATCTGTTTATCAATTTCACGCTGCTCTGCAACAGGGGGATGAAACACCGCGGCGCGCAATGAATTGGAAGTTGATCTGTCAGCACTATCCTTATCTTGAGGGCAGATGTTTTTATTTTATTTGGCTTATAATTCCTTACTAAATGTAGTATGTCATCATCTCCGTCTTTGATATGATGACTCTGTCTTTGATATGATTTAAATCAAATTCCTCGTCATTATAATTTGCTTTCGATAGTAAAGAAAGTGACACAGAGGTTATTGAAGACGAAAAAATTTCGATTGACAAATTAATCGGTATTCTCGACACAGCAATTATAGGACTTGAACAGCAGAGCTTTGTAATTGAACAAGAAATTATGTCTGTTTATAGCATTAAAGAGAAAGTATTATCACATAAAACGAAGCAACTTAAACAACTTACATTGAAAGAAATGTTTAATAAAGTAAACAAAAAAAATATTAAGCTTTTTTTTTTTTTTTTTTTTTTTTTTTTTTTTTTTTTTAATTTTGATACCCTTTAGATCATAATTCTTTATTTCATAAATTACGGTTTCATATTTTTAATTTTATAATTTCTGCATGCCATCTTACCAGATTTAAACTTATGATCTATAATCCAGAAAAATCGATAATCCGAAGTCCCGACGAGTGCGGATTAACGACTTTTGACTGTACTTTTGTTGAAATATGACAAAAGAAATTTTTCATGTTTACAATATTCCTTTACTTCATACAAGGAAGTAAAAATGAAAGGTCAGAGCTTTTAGGTACAGTTTGTGTGTATATTACATTAGAAAGTCAATTCCCGTGTGTTAATGTTAAGGTACTAAACACTTAACTGCATTATATATCTCTGTCTCTGAACACACACACAAACACAACACAAAAAAAAAAAAAAAAAAAAAAAAATTACAGAAAA